GGAAGTGAATGACACGTCGCCGAGGACCAGCTGCGAGACGGCCCCGTAGTCCTGCTTCTCGTCGCCGTCCGGGTCGTTGAATGCAATACCGGCTTCGCTGCGGACCTGCGACATTTCAGAAAACAGGTCCGGCCAGTGTAGAACACGGTAGACGTACCACAGAATGCGCTCCATCTGCCCCAATGACATACTTGGCCTGGATGGTTTCACCAGATTCAAACTGTACGTCGAACATATGCTCTGTGCCTTGCGAAGGCTTCAAGGAAGCGACTTTGACGGGGCGCAAGACTTTAATTCCAAGCTGTTCCAGTTTCTCTAACATTCCGGCCTCGGTATTGGACTGGGGAAGAACCAAGCCGAAGGGGAACTTGGTGTACGGAGACAGGAGCGAGAAGTCGGCGGACACGAGGACCGACTTGCCATCGTAGAGACTGAGCCGTTCTACTTTCTCACCGACTGCTAAAAGATTGTCGAGGCATCCGACGGTGTTGAGGGCCTATTGCAACGTTAGATGCTATTGAACAAATATAGAGAAGTACCAAGACACCTCGAGCGTCGCGGCTTGGATTACCATCGCTCTGGACGAATTTTCGCCAGCGAGGATTGCGTCCACGATAACGATGTCATGAACTCCTTGGTGGTTCAGAGACAGAGCCGCAGCCATCCCACATGGGCCAGCGCCGACTATTAAGACCGTGGTTCGCTGAGGAAGGGAGATGGACATGAGAGTTTGATACAGATCTGGACTTCGCAGCGTTAGCTCTTTATATCCGTTGCAGCTGCCGTTTTACCGAGCAAACGTCATCTATATGAGGCATAGGAGCAATATAAACTTTATACAGTAGAACAGCAGCGGTTCCATGACGCCAAAAGTGACATTGACCGTGCTAGAGCTCGGTTAGACTTCCGAGTCCGACGTGTGCCAAAGTTCTAACTTCCAAGTTCTTCAAGCCAACTTCAAGTTTGTGACTGCCACCGTGACTTTGCCAAGCAATATCATACCGTCGACGTAAGGATGAATCCAAGAATTCGGGTACTTGTTTAGAGGTCAGAGTCAGAGCTTTGGAGACCAATTTGAGACTTCGAGTTGGTTTGAAGCAAGTCACGAATTTGTCACGAATATGTTCTGATTTGGCCGTGGCGGAGTTTGAATCTCTGATCCCGGCATGGGGCGAATACCGGCTTTCCTTTTGCTCTCTTCGAAGTCAACGAGGAACCGAGGAGGATGTCCTGGAAGACATTTGGTTCAGCACGTCAACCCTAGCTCGGCGACCATCAGCCAGAGACCTCCGGAGCTCCCGGCAGGTCGGGGCCATCGGGCGGCCGTTCATTCAGCTCTACAAGGTTACCACCGAAATCTTGTCGTCGGTTTAGCCTGGTTGAAGGCCCGGCCAGGAATGCCGCCATTTGGCATTCTCGTTGCATATCCATACCTATTTCTCAGGGAAGGTAAATAAAGAGCAACTCTATTTTTCGTCTGGCAACCCAATAATTCTGCACCGCACCCAGGACGGTATAAAAGACGGGCGATCTCGCGGATATGATCCTCCCCACTTTATCTGTCGCATTTAAACTCAGCTTCAGACAGGGGGCCCTCTTCACTAGGATCTAATCTATTTCCCCTCCTCGCCCTCTCCACGCCGCGCTCTGGCCAGTCCTCTTCCGCAAGGTTTAGTCAGCCTCAGCGAGGCCCTTCCCAAAGCCTTGAGTATTTGGTTACATTAGCTTCCAACGTTTCAGGGCCAGAGCAATAACTGTACTGGGGTGCTCTGAATCCAGCTCGCACTTGCAGGCGACCTTGAGGGAAGGCGCGCCACGACAAACAAGCTGTTCTATCGCACTGCGATCGTATGTACTTTCAACCCTCATAAGTCTAATTATTTTCTTTCTTTGGTTGTATACAGGCCGCGACACCGTATTATGTGGGTCCCTCAGGCGCGATGGACTGTGGACGGGAGGTGTGGTACTGGCTTCTCAGCTACTGTACATCCTACTCTGGATATGTTAGATAAATCGAACCCCACCACAGTTTTATGTGAACGTGCATCCCGACTTGCTGATGGTGACTCGGCGAGAGGGCTGCGCACTGAATACTCACCCGCGTTCAGTCGTAGAGCAACCAACCGTTCAGTGGAGTTACGAACACCAAAAGTCGAAAAAAAGAACTGGACTTTCCACGATACTCCACGATACATTTGGGTGCAGGGAATCGAACCCCGTCCTGCAACATAGATGTTCTGGGCTGGTGGAAGAAATACTGCTGTGCACTATACACCACACCCGAGTTCTCCCTATGGAACCTACTCCGGGTATGTCAGATACATAATTTGAACCCGCTACAATTTATGTACAGCATGCATCCCGGCTTACTCGATAGTGGGAGAGCTGCGCAATGAAGACTCACCAGCATTCAGTTGTATAACCCCAATCAACGGCTCCATCGTAAATTACGACTAGCAAGGACTCGTGCTTCGCTACGAATATAATTGAGAATGTAAACAATACACATTGAAAACAAAACCCCTTCTATCCCAGGATTCCTAAACTGCTGATCTCCAGAAAGAGTTATGATATCAGGTCTTGTTCAGGGCAGCCGTTGAGAAGTGAAGTAAGAGGAATTCCTTGTGCTTCTGTACATTCAATTCGGAAGAAGTCACGATTGAAACTTGACCAAACCACATCAATCGGCCAGCCCGCACTCGTAGGTGATGCCATTCAATGTTGAGTGAAACCAGGAATCGACAGCAAGAAGTGAAGCAGGGATTCCTCGTGTCCTCTGTACATTCAACTCGGAAAAAAGTCACAGTTGAAACTTGACCAAACGACATCAATCGGCCAGCCCGCACTCGTAGGTGATGCCATTCAACTCGGAAAAAAGTCACTGTTGAAACTTGACCAAACGACATCGATTGTCCAGCCCTCACTCATAGGTGATGCCGTTTAATGTTGAGTGAAACCAGGAATCAGCAGGAGTCCTATCGGAATTTTCATGATGGGAAAATGAGCTCTATGAGAACAACAGTTGTGAGTCCCATCTAGGGTTGTTCGCCGTGCCCGTGACGGGCATGGCCGTCGCTTTGACCGGAGTGCAACGGGCAAACAAACCCGTCCCGTCGCAGAGGCTGAAAAGATCTCTATGGAACGGGACGGTGTCGGTGCCTTCTCACTGAATAAACCTCGTGATTTTAGTGAAAATATCGGAGACTTCCTCCTAGTAGAAGATCTTAGTAAGTTCAAGATTTGTAGTTGAGTTATGCTCAAATCCAAGATTGAAATCATTAGTGAGCATCACTATGCTTTTGGAATAGAGTGCGAAGAATGTGTTTCATTCTCCTGAAGTGTTTACTTTGTCGGGGAAAGACCTAGACCACATCTACACGGCAAGGTTGGAACATAAAAATTACGAAAAAATCAAGTCCGTTACGTGGTCTCCTTTGAGAGGTCGGAATTCCATGGTGAGCACTACTACGAACATCTGTCCAAGGCCTATTCAGGGCAATTAGGAGATCTACATTCAAGCTGAAAATCATTCAAATCTGTGGAACTTAGGTGCTCACTGTTGACAAACCCGTCGCCCGTCGACGGCTGTCATCACTGAACTCCGTCCCATCGCTGTCCCGTCGAAAAATTTCCGGACCCCTGGACGGAACGGGTCAGCTACCCATCACACAGAACCCGCAGAACCGGCGCGACAGGCACGGCGAACAGCCCTAGTCCCATTATGGTCCACCTTCACTGGTACACGCTGTCCTGGAGTCATTCAAAGTCACAACAGCTCATTGAGGAAAAGTTACTGTGATATGGATCCAGGGCAAACACTCATACATAATTTCTAAAAACTTCTGTTAACTCTCGTGGATGGATAGATGAGCATCAAATCATGCCAAGGTTATAGAAAATGCATTTCTTCACAGCAGAAATGCCTGTGTTTAATGACTCTCGTAGATCAAAACATTAAGCTGGTTCATGGTTTCCATGACGGGCACCGGGCAAAGTCTATCCTTGGTCTATCCCGTCCAAGTCCTGTCATGAAAGCCAGGAAAATTTCTACGGCACAGGAGGAGCGACGTGATGGCCATCACAGATGGCGCGGAAGCTTGAACATACGGCCAACAGTCCAATTTGAAGAAGGGCCAAAGGAGATGCAAAGGGATCAGTGGCAGTGCCCAATGTTTGTCCGAGCATCTGTCTTGAGACAAAGACCACATACGTGACCACTCTCTTTTGTATAATAGAGAGCTTGCGCAAAAGCCGCACAAGCCGCATGCGGCTTTTTGGCATTGCGCGAAGCCACATGCGGAAATCAGACCTGAGGTTACTGAGAAACCAAGTCAGTGGAGAGATAGTTCGGTTGACAGGCAAGTCCTGGTGAGTGAAAAAAATTGCATTACTGCCGCAACTGCTCTGTGCAGGACGCAAAAAGTGTGCGAAATCTGAGTGGAGCCGGAGTGATGGCTGAACAAACTGCTTCCCCAGCTCGTGCATCGACCAGATAGTAATTTGGATGAACACAATACAGTGTCACAGAGACATGAGAGTGCAATGAACTCACGAAATCATGCAGAAAACCCAGGAAAAACCCGATGATTTTGCGCAATGCCGAAAAGCCGCATGCGGCTGGTGCGGCTTTTGCGCAAGCTCTCTAATAGATCACCAGAAGCCGAATAAAAAAATAAAAAAGCAATGTTGAACGGGGACTCGGGTGCGGGGACTTGAACCCCGCCCTGCAGCGTGAATCATCTAGTGCGAAGAAGCAAGAAACGCTGCCGTGCACCATACACCACAGCCGATTCCTTGCCTCACATCTGCACCAGCATAGGGTAGGTGGATTTTATGATTCCGGTCCTTACATTTGCTGTTTCCAACAACATTACCTCCAGGCAACTTGAAATATCCATTCTCAGGCTGAGAGACAGCAGAGAGTTAGACATAAATTCGACGGACGAAAGCACTCGAGGAGAAAAACCAAAAGGAAAGAAAAGGAGATCTCCAGACAAGCATTCGGGTGCGGGGAGTCGAACCCCGTCCTGCAGCTTACAACCTCGTTGTTACTATAATCTTGTACAGACCACTGTCGTGCACCATACACCACACCCGAGTTCGTCACCTAAAACCTACGCTAGTCTCTCATAGACAGACGCTACAACAATTTTGGTGCTCGTGCCTCGCATGTTGTAAACCTACGCTGGATATGTCAGATAAGTTGAACTCTGGCACAATTTATGTGTCAGCATATGATGCCAGCATGCATTCCGACTTCCCGCTGCTTGATGTTGGAGTTCAGCTTTAAAAAAATCCACCCTCGAATAGACTCGGATCCGAGTCGTGGCATCCTGTGGAGAATTTTAAAAAAAAATTGAGAAGGAGGCAAACAACGAGAGAAAAAGAACAGAAAAGACGAAGGAATTTAGGGTCGAACCCTGTCTTGCAACATAAGGCATCCGCCAATCCGTCGGACCGCTTAAGAAACGCTGCCGTGCACCATACACCTGGACCACGCCCAAGTTCTTCCACTAAACTCTACGCTGGACACGTCAGATAAATTGAACCCGCCACAATTTATGTGAGCATGGATCCCGCCTTGCCACTGCTTAATGGTGGCACTACCAGTGTTCAATCGTAGAAACCTAACCGCCGATTCCATGATCACGAACGCCAAAAGCCGAGACAAAACCAGAAAATAGGAGAAAAAAACTGGACAGATAACGGATTATTCGGGTGCGGAGAGTCGAACCCCGTCCTCCAGCTTACATTCGGGTTCATCTCGGAAATACCACTGCCGTGCACCATGCACCACACCCGATTTCTTCTTACGTCAGTATCAGGATAACTATCGCATTGTCCAGGTAGATCAAAATTTTATGACTCCCATCCTTTCCAGCTAAAAAAATTCCACCCTCGAACAGATCGTGATATATGACTACCAAAAATAAGAGAGGGAGAGGGAAAAATGCGAAATAACGGGACTCGGGCGCAGGGAGTCAAACCCCGTCCTGCAACAGGCGATACATGCGCAAGAAATTAATAAGCGTTGCAGTGCACCATACACCACACCCTCCTAAAACCTACGCTGAATATGTCAGGTAAATTGAACCCGCTTACAATTTATGTACAGCATGCATCCCGACTTGGCGCTTGGAGGGCTTTCGCACTGAATACTCGCCGATGTTCAAATCGTAGAATGCCAACTTAAATAAAAGAAGAGTCGTCGAACCGGGATTTGGATGCGGGGAGTCGAACCCCGTCCTGCAACATAAGATACTCTAGCAGTTGTAGAAAACTCTGTCGTGGACCATACACCAAACCCGATTTCTGAGAGTCATGAGAGGCAGCATGTAAGCCAACCAGATCAACCATTTATTTATTTTTGAGATCCGCAAAATTTATGTTGAATCCTCTCAGATGAGCCCGCATAACGCACCGTTCGGGCTGGCAACAAGGAATCTGTACGCATGATTGAAGCTTGAATGAGTCGTTGACAAGTTGAACCAATGGTCGAACGTTGAACGGAAGGGCAGAGTATATATATAATTGAGCTCGTCGTTTGATTGGCGCTTCCAAAGATCAAATGTCTATAAATATGCGGCTTAATTACATAAAGAGAAAGAAAGAAATTAGGGGTTATACGAAACAAAAGAAACCTTTAACGAACCGACCGAAATCTTGTTATTGGTATTTTATATATTTTCATCTGTGTCTCTCCATACTTCACAGTCAGCCTGCATGCATGTCTTCCTTCACCAATATGTTTTGTATGCCGGTACCCGGCTACAGCAAGGGGGAGCTTGCGCAAATACAGAGTTTCTGATGTTTGGCACTTTGTGCCATTTTTATTCGTCAAATACATACTCACTAAGGTCCTTTCCATAAGTATCTAATGTGAATCCCAACTGAGCCCTTCGATATGTGTCGGGTTCTTTAATGAAAATTGGAGCCTTCAGAGATTCGTTGATAAGCTGTGTATCTGTCTACGCAGGGAATTTACCAATTTCCCGTATTTCACGAATACCACACATGCACACTTCCTTATATACATGAGCTAGCGTGAGCCTCGAACGGCTAGTTACCAGTCACATAGTTCAGATTGGCTCTCCGAGGAGAACATTGCAACAATCCTGGAAAGCATTGAAACACGAGTCTCCGAGGAAACTCAATCAGATACAATCAGGCAGTACCCGAGGTTTTACCGGAAGCGCTGTTTTACTAGACTTGGATTCAGAGGGAGAGACGAGATTATAATAAAGTCATGACAGGGTAACCAGACATAGTCCTGGACCCGCCTCCGAGGAGACGTCAGTTTGGCGTTGTGTTGACCGGATAGTAGACGCGTTGCATCACGTGTTCTAAAGGAAAGCTGTGATCTTGAATCAGCAACGATCGAGAGCCCAGACCTAGCTTGACAGCTGTCTCGGAAAGACTGCTGAGCCTCGGAAGGATATCCGAGTCTCGGAAAGGCAACCGAAACTCGGATCGCTACCCGAAGCGGAAGAAGCCGAGTTGGCATCAGAAGGTTCACACACTGGTTCACCCAGTCGGGATTTAGGTTCCTACAAAGGGCAGAGGAACTTCAGGATTACAGGAACACTCACCGAGGAGAACTAGACGAAGAAGACCTATCCGAGGAGTGAGTCGAACGAGGGATTATTCTGTTCCTTGAAGAACATCATTTCCAACCAAACCGGTTGTGAAGCCGCGCTTTGACCTGCGTCACTACGAGGGACCAATAGGCGTAGAGGGACGATTGGTGGACGACATATGGCGTGCTCAGTGGCTCGGGTTCCTTTCCGAGGTCACCTAATCATTATTTATCATCTCATTTTAACTGTATAAAAGGACCATATACCTACCTAGTTAGACAGCGAACTACCCGGAGCTGGGGCACAGGACAGTGTCACAGGTTTCGGTCAGTGTCGGCTCTAAAGGACATTTGCTACACGCACCTGTACTTTGTTACTCGGAAAGATTGATTGGCACACCGTTGGAATCTCATAGACCCATCCACGTTCAATCGCATTTGAGTACATACCCGAGGCGGTGTGATGATGACTGCGCCTCTGCTAGGTGCCGATAGGTGGTGGTGGTAAGGGCAAGTAGAGAGTGTTCGTCCTTGGGGGAGATAATGGTGTCGCTGCGCGAGACTGTGGTAGCAGTAAATGTGTGTGGTTTATTTAGAGGATTTTGATACGCCCCAGAGAATATCTGGTCGTACGGTTCGCTATTCTAATGTACGGAGGAGAATCCGCCCAAAGTCTAGCCTTCCCTGAATTTTGTAACACGTCCCGTTCTACAATCCTGTCGAGGAGCGGACGACTGTTTAGATGCGATGCGGTTTCCGTTGTTATAAACGCTATGGGGCCGTTCTCGGTTCTTTTGTATACAGCTACCCTTGGTCCTTCGACCTCTTCTGGGTGCTTCGTGCGCTGGGAGGCCCTAAACTTGTTTTCAACGACTCCGCTCCTGTCTGCCGTTCCGTTCTTTCCAAGTCTGTTCCCTACTAAACTCTCTACAAATCGTCTTCTTCTTTCCGTTCGCGAGCTCCAGCGAGCGGAGTCGGCTTCTTGAGAGCTGCGATGAAGGTTGATACCCGTTCTGATCGATGCGAGCGGTCGGGGAGTTATACAACTCGAGCGGTGACTGGCGTGGTGCTCGAGATCGCTGTTATGAGGAGCGGTCCGTACAGCGGCGGACGATCCAAGGGCGGCGGTTCGATGTTCTGCCAGGAGCAGCCCTGGAGACCTTGTTTTCGTAGTCGGCGTACCCTGGTGAGCGGTACTTGCGTATCACTTAAGATGCGCTGGTAGTTTTAGATGGGAAAATTAGATGTCTTTATTCGTAGCAGCATCTCGTATTTATAGGAAATCGACCCTCTAGCACTGCCTTCTACACGTTCCTCTTGCTCTTCTCCGACTCATCGCATTCCGCTCCCTAAATTGGGAGCGCCACATGCTCCTTTGACTGGTTCCGTCCGTCTTTGTGACTCGAAAGAGGTTCCTGCTCCGTTCCTGAGCTGCGCGTGGGAACCCGCTCGTCGAACGCATGGCGCTCCAGTTTCCGCTCTCAATTCTTCATTCCTGGAAGCTGTGCGCGAATACTCCGCTCGCCAAACGTGTGCTCCTTCAGTCGGGAATGATTTCCGCTCTCAACTCCCTGTTCCTGGAGGCTATGTGCGAGATTTCCGCTCTTTGGACACATGCTCCTTGTGTCGGGAACGATTTCCGCCCTAGTTCCACGTTCCAGATCCTATGCACGAGTTTTCCGTTCCTTAGATCTCGTCTTGGTCGGCCGTTCTTCCCTGATCTTATTCTCCTTATTCGTTTTGTTGGTCCTCCTCCCGACTTGAACATCCTATTCCTTCTTGAAGGCCGCTCCACGAGCTTCATAACCATATCCTACTTGATTTTATTTCGTTCGGCGCCTGGCTCAGAGCCAAGCGAGGCAAAGCGGAGGGAGGCGAGGCGGAGGTGAGGCGAGGCGGAGGTGAGGCGAGGCGGAGGTGAGGCGGAGGTGAGGTGCGAGGTGGAGGTGGAGCGCGAGGCGGCGGTGAAGCGCGAGGAAGTACCAAGGGGGGCGCGCAGAGTCGGAAAGCGCGGGCGCGCAGCGGGAAAACACAGGGCGGCAGAGTCGGAAAGTGCAGGTGCAGCAGGAAAAACACAGGGCGCGCAGAGTCGGAAAGTGCGGGCGCAGCGGGAAAAACACAGGGCGCGCAGAGTCTGGAAAGTCGGCGAGCGGCGTTGCAGATAATCAATATTTACGCATGCCGTTCCGCTTTCTTTCTTGCGCGCGCGTTTAATGGTTGGCCATGCGTGCGGGGTCGGGATCCGTTTTATGTGAGTGCCATGTGTAAGGCGTCGGATCGGGAATGTGCTCTGCCTTATTTGGGGAAGCTGTTTCCGCTTCGTATGTGCCGTTCCAGAGCGATCACAAAGTGATGGCTCACAGCGGACCGTCTCAAAGTTTCTATTCTAGACGCAGCGGACCGTTGTAGTCGAACTCACTTCCTCTTGATATCCCGGCGGACCGTTGAGGATCGTTACCCGCTGAAAGGCACAAACCCGTTCTTCGGAACAAAACACGCCAGTTCTCTGAACTGTAAACCACACACCCACTGTTCACCCCATTGCTTGTGAAACTTGTCAAGGTTTCCGAGGAGATTGATTGACTGTGTCCGAGGAGAACCTTTCCTCGTACAACTTTACTTGTCTTCCTCAAACGAATCACCTGCGCTATAGAATCTAATACTTGATTCTCACCCCCGAACACGCACTGCTGTTCACTCATTGTCACGATTGGAGTTGTAGTTTGGTTTTAGTGTTGTTATAGTTTAGTGGATATATTTCCATTGAGCTAGAATAGCATTAGAGTGTTTCCACCGCACCTAGAGTGAAAGCCTTTCATCGTTAAATTACAAGTCAATTTCTTTTGCAACATCTTCTCCGGAAGCCCTATACACCGATTCAACGTTGATTACTTTATTCTTCCCCAGAACTTAGACACTGAACTAGATACATTTAAATGTGAAAACTGTGAAATCAACCTGCATTACTTTTCCTCCATAAAATCATAAAACTCAACTTGATTTAGACGGCGAAGTGAAGGTCTTCAATCCATTTAAACTTTTAAAGTCAAAAATAGGGGCTTTCCATGATCTTCTCGGACATCACATTCAATCATCATGATATTTATACAGATGAGGATAGACGAAACTTTACTCCTTCTCCAACTTGCACTCTGGAAGTGCTTGGGACTTGTGGTTGCGGGAAATCAAGGGTTGAGTCCGTGGGAACATCAGTGTCAAGTATGCAG